CAGAAAGGATGCAGTCGGAGTCCCAGATAAATAAATTGGCAATCACAGACCATGCCACACAGAAAAATCATGTGATTGACTGGGATAACTCTAAAGTTTTGGACAGAAAAGCAATCTGTTCAAGCAGCAGATAAAGGAAGCCATCTGGATACCCCGCAGTGGGACAGTTTTAAATCGAGACGAGGGGGCTCAAAGACTCACACATCTGTGACCAAGTATTAAACAAAGCGTAGCTGAATTGAGTCATTTCGGTACATATATAACAACGTTTGTACATACGCTTACAGTGTAGCCGAAATCAAACATCGATTTTGTGGACAACTTGAACACATTTTACACTTTTGTGTGCATACGCTTCACTTGTCATTTGTCTGATGAAGTTGACACTGTGCATATCGTACTAGTCATTGAAGCGTCACATAGAAAATTTTGCATATCGTACTAGTCATTGAAGCGTCACATAGAAAATTTTATTGGTTTTATAAAAAGATCTTTCATAAAAGATATACTAGTGTTCAAGCATCAAAACGACCAAGATCAAATCTCAACTGTGGACAAGTGATCTCTTGTTGATGTCACTGTCAACTCAAGCTCAACATGCCACTTTGAGCCTATACATGTAACAAGGTCACTATTTCCTGAAAAAAATGACCCCTATAGGGTAAGTATCATATCTACAAAATAGCACCCAATATGTGTTAGAATCATATAGGTATGCCATGTTTCTGTCATTGACTAAATGTTTTTTTAAATACAGCACTTTTACACTTGCTCAACTTCAAAAGAATGCAGTGTTGCCGGACAATCACTAGTACATCGGCTAAATATAGTTCAGTATAGCACTGCCATACAATTCACTAGTACATTGGCTAAATATAGTTCAGTAATGTGGGACAATCATGAGAACATACATTGGCCAGTACGGTACTGCTGCTGGACTGTTTAGAAGAGGAAGTGCCTTTTAATTTCCAATAAATAATGTTCATCCCAAACGTTATTGTTTAAAACTTTATTCAATTGAAAACACATATTTGTTACTTTATTACTTGCAAAATTGAAAAAAAATAAGAAACATAAACTTTCTACAAAACAGTAGTGACTGATCATGAATAGCCTGAATTAGGTATTGCCTCACATGAACACTAACATCAGATGGAGACAATCAATATGTTTATGAGAAGAAGCAATTGATATATGCCATATATCTACATTGTCTTAAAACACACTCACATAGCCTGTTAGGAGCTGAGAGCTCATATTGAGCCCGAGTGCAAGAGCTAGAAGCTCATGCTAATATATTGAGCCCAAGTGTAGGAGTTAGAAGCTCAAGCTTAAATTGAGCCCAAGTGTAGAAGTTAAGTCATATTGAGTCTTAAAGTAGTATAGTAATTGGTACCCAAACTTTAACACCATCTATAAATATTTCAAAATATGTAATTTCTATCGAAAGTTAGCAATTTTAAATTACATTTTGGAGGTGAAATTTATTTAACTGCAGTTATATAAATGTATAAAATATTTGGCTATTTAGAGATGGCAGGGGCAAGGTTGTTGGGAAAGAAACCTTGGTGCACTGACTGATAACAGACATAGCCTTAGACTGGCCCTGGGATAGTATTGGCATTCCTAAGTCTCAGAGGAGAAAACTGCTAATATTTCACTGTGAGAACAATCCACTTATTATAAGGGAGCAGCCTTTTCCTGTCCCAGACACCAACACGTCCAAAGCCCTGCGATCGTGAACAGAATGATCTTTTTACCAGGAAGGTCATTGTGGTGTTCTTTTCTACAGACTTAATACAATGGAGAACTGATGGTAGTAAAACTCTGTATATATCATCACAGCATAGCTATATATAGCTGTCTGCCCTATAACTATATATACAGGTCACTTTGTGTAGTCACAACATATATGTCCCCTATAACTATATATACAGGTCACTTTGTGTAGTCACAACATACATGTCCCCGTATAGCTATATATACAGGTCACTTTGTGTAGTCACAACACACATGTCCCCTATAGCTATATATACAGGTCACGTTGTGTAGTCACAACCTACATGTCCCCTATAGCGATATATACAGGTCGCTTTGTGTAGTCACAACATACATGTCCCCTATAGCTATATATACAGGTCACTTTGTGTAGTCACAACATACATGTCCCCTATAGCGATATATACAGGTCGCTTTGTGTAATCACAACATACATGTCCCCTATAGTTATATATACATGTCGCTTTGTGTAGTCACAACATACATGTCCCCTATAGCTATATAAACAGGTCACTTTGTGTAGTCACAACACACATGTCCCCTATAGCTATATATACAGGTCACTTTGTGTAGTCACAACATACATGTCCTCCATAGCTATATATACAGGACACTTTGTGTAGTCACAACATACATGTCCCCGTATAGCTATATATACAGGTCACTTTTTGTAGTCACAACACACATGTCCCCTATAGCTTTATATACAGGTTACGTTGTGTAGTCACAACATACATGTCCCCTATAGCGATATATACAGGTCGCTTTGTGTAATCACAACATACATGTCCCCTATAGTTATATATACAGGTTACTTTGTGTAGTCACAACACACATGTCCCCTATAGCTTTATATACAGGGCACCTTGTGTAGTCACAACATACATGTCCCCTATAGCTTTATATACAGGTCACTTTGTGTAGTCACAACACACATGTCCCCTATAGCTTTATATACAGGTCACGTTGTGTAGTCACAACATACATGTCCCCTATAGTTATATATACAGGTCACTTTGTGTAGTCACAACACACATGTCCCCTATAGCTATACAGGTCACTTTGTGTAGTCACAACACACATGTCCCCTATAGTAATATATACAGGTCACTTTGTGTAGTCACAACATACATGTCCCCTATAGCTTTATATACAGGTCACTTTGTGTAGTCACAACATACATGTCCCCATATAGCTATATATCCAGGTCACTTTGTGTAGTCACAACATACATGTCCCCTATAGCTTTATATACAGGTCACTTTGTGTAGTAACAACATACATGTCCCCATATAGCTATATATCCAGGTCACTTTGTGTAGTCACAACATACATGTCCCCGTCTAGCTATATATACAGGTCACTTTGTGTAGTCACAAAATACATGTCCCATATTGCTATATATACAGGTCACTTTGTATAGTCACAACATACATGTCCCCTATAGCTATACAGGTCACTTTGTGTAGTCACAACATACATGTCCCCTATAGCTATATATTCAGGTAACTGTGTGTAGTCACAACATACATGTCCCCTATAGCTATATATACAGGTAACTGTGTGTAGTCACAACATACATGTCCCCTATAGCTATACAGGTCACTTTGTGTANCACTTTGTGTAGTCACAACATATATGTCCCCTATAGCTATATATACAGGTCACTTTGTGTAGTCACAACATACATGTCCCCTATAGCTATACAGGTCACTTTGTGTAGTCACAACATACATGTCCCCATATAGCTATATATCCAGGTCACTTTGTGTAGTCACAACATACATGTCACCTATAGCTATATATACAGGTCACTTTGTGTAGTCACAACACACATGTCCCCTATAGCTGTATATACAGGACACTTTGTGTAGTCACAACATATATGTCCCCTATAGCTATATATACAGGTCACTTTGTGTAGTCACACCATACATGTCACCTATAGCTATATATACAGGTCACTTTGTGTAGTGACAACACACATGTCCCCTATAGCTGTATATTCAGGACACTTTGTGTAGTCACAACATATATGTCCCCTATAGCTATATAGACAGGTCACTTTGTGTAGTCACAACATTGTGTAGTCACAACATACATGTCCCCTATAGCTATATATACAGGTAACTTTGTGTAGTCACAACATACATGTCCCCATATAGCTATATATACAGGTCACTTTGTGGAGTCACAACACACATGTCCCCTATAGCTGTATATTCAGGACACTTTGTGTAGTCACAACATATATGTCCCCTATAGCTATATATTCAGGTCACTTTGTGTAGTCACAACATATATGTCCCCATATAGCTATATATCCAGGTGACTGTGTGTAGTCACAACATACATGTCCCCTATATCTATACAGGTCACTTTGTGTAGTCACAACATATATGTCCCCTATAGCTATATAGACAGGTCACTTTGTGTAGTCACAACATTGTGTAGTCACAACATACATGTCCCCATATAGCTATATATCCAGGTGACTGTGTGTAGTCACAACATACATGTCACCTATAGCTATATATCCAGGTCACTTTGTGTAATATACAGGTCACTTTGTGTAGTCACAACACACATGTCCCCTATAGCTGTATATTCAGGACACTTTGTGTAGTCACAACATATATGTCCCCTATAGCTATATATATAGGTCACTTTGTGTAGTCACAACATGCATGCCCCCTATAGCTATACAGGACACTTTGTGTAGTCACTACATATATGTCCCCTATAGCTATATATACTGGTCACTTTGTGTAGTCACAACATACATGTCCCCATATAGCTATATATCCAGGCCACTTTGTGTAGTCACAACATACATGTCCCTTATAGCTATATATTCAGGTCACTTTGTGTAGTCACAACATATATGTCCCCTATAGCTATATAGACAGGTCACTTTGTGTAGTCACAACATTGTGTAGTCACAACATACATGTCCCCATATAGCTACATATCCAGGTCACTTTGTGTAGTCACAACATATATGTCCCCTATAGCTATATAGACAGGTCACTTTGTGTAGTCACAACATGCATGTCCCCTATAGCTATACAGGACACTTTGTGTAGTCACAACAAACAATAAGATCCCTTTCCTATAAATAGAGGTGTCAGTATACAGGTGCTATGTACTTGCAGTGATACATTATGTACGCCAAAGGTCTGAGTGTTGATTGTTAAGTCGTTAACAAGAATTGTACCTACCTTCCTGTAAACATTGACACAAGAGTACTCATGTCTACTCCAAATCATATGACACAGTGGTAAAGAGTCTCCGGTTCTAGGAAATATCCTGTTCTATAGAGTTTCCGGTTCTATAGAATATCTGCTCCTAGAGATGTTCCATTCTAGAAAGTCTGCAGTTCTAGAGAATATTCAGTCCTTATAGAGTTTCCTGTTTATAGAATATCTTGTCTTAAAGACTTTCCATCGTAGAGAGTTTCCGGTCCTAGAGAATAATCTGGTCCTAGAAATTCTAACAGCAGCACAGCTTATCCCACTCCGACACTGAGAGAAACAATGAGGTTATCTTCCGCAGGAACAACTTCTAGTATGCCTCTCAATTTATGTAAATAAAGTTCCCCTGGTACCGAATGGAAGCTGAAAAAATGCTCTTAATCGCGGAGTACAGCAGACAGTGCTATGGAAGGCTTAACTCCGAAACACGGCCGTACACACACAGGAGTTTCCCCATCCAAACACTCCAGTAACTCACTATACCAATACTCCTAGGGAGACGGATGCTTTCCTAGCGGTGCAGTCTGGGTATACACAATATTCCCTGGTTGTCATAAAATTGCTTGCCACATAAAGATCTGACAATTTTCCAAAAAAAAATATGAATTGCGCTTTTGGAGAAAATGCAAATGCTTTTTGAAATTCCTCTTTTCAAGGATTTGATGGGCACCACACATTTGACAACTTGCCAAAAAAATGGTAGGTGATTTGAAAAAAACTGCATTTCAAACTCGAAACAGCACATTAAAATGCATGTTTTTTCTCCATTTCTTATCTGTATTCACTTTCAAGGAATTTACTGTCTGATTTGTGGCCAAATTTTACCTTATAGAGAAGCACAGCCACAGGTACTATATATATATATAAGCACACTTTGGCTAGTTCTTTTGAAGTTCTCTAAATCTTAATTCAGCTTTTCCTGTAAAGTCTCTGCCACTTACCTAAAGACTTGGATTTTTCACTTTCTGAACCTCAAACTTTCCTAGTCTGTCCACAAGCTGTCCTTTGAAGTCTCGGCCACTTCTGTAGATATCACCCTCATTAAACAATTGTTCAAGTGGTATGATACACTACCTCTGTCTCAAACTAACTCTTCAATGTAATTACATTGCTTGTTAGCCAATTCATATAATTACTGTAATACAATAGATTGACCGTCAACAACCTAACGAGGTTCCTAGGTGAAACGTTTCTGTGGAGACTAATTACAGTCACACACAACTATAGCCAGTGGTTTCCTCTCCTCAATGTTGAAAAGTTCAGCTACACTAGTACTGTAGAAAAACATCTGACACCATAATCAACAGTTAATTATGTAACCAGACATACACGTCTTTCCTCTTTTCTATCCACTATTCTATTATTATGAATGACACAATGTAATGATTCCCGTCTCCACTTACTCAGGTCACCATGATTCCCTACAATTACACAAGCTGGTCTCTATCCCTGTCAGTGAGTAAATATCTGATGTCTGTAACTGTCAGTGAGTGAATATCTGGTGTCTATATCTGGTCAGTGAGTGAATATCTGGTTTCTGTATCTGTCAGTGAGGGAATATCTGGTGTCTGTATTTAGTCAATAAGTGAATATCTGGTGTCTATATCTGGTAAGTGAGTGAATATCTGGTGGCTGTATCTGTCAATGAGGGGGTATCTGGTGTCTGTATCTGTCATTGAGTGAATATCTGGTGGCTGTATCTGTCAATGAGGGGGTATCTGGTGTCTGTATCTGTCAATTAGTGAATATCTGGTGTCTATATCTGGTCAGTGAGTAAATATCTGGTGTCTGTATTTAGTCAATAAGTGAATATCTGGTGTCTATATCTGGTCAGTGAGTGAATATCTGGTGTCTGTATCTGTCAATGAGTGAATATATTAGGCTGGGGTCTATATCAAGTCAGTAAGTGAATATCTGGTTTTTGAGTTGATATCTATATAGTGTCTTTATCCAGTCAATGAGTGAAAAGCTGGTGTCTATATCTAGTCATTTAGTGAATATATGGTGTCTATATGTCCAGTCAGTAAGTGAATATCTGGTTTTCGAGTTGATATCTAGTGTCTTTATCCAGTCAATGAGTGAAAAGCTGGTGTCTATATCTAGTCATTTAGTGAATATATGGTGTCTATATGTCCAGTCAGTGAGTGAATATCTAGCCTCTATCCTTAGCCAGCAAATACATATTTAGTTACTCTTTCTAAAGTAGATGCCCTGATGCTCTGCCAACGTTGGTTAATATCATTGTACCTTAATTTGTATGTCTGTCCAATCAGCAGGATGACTATAATTCGCCGTCTGAGTCAATATGTCAACCCCGTGGTGAATTGATCAAATTACCCGTGATTGTCATGGCACAGTAAACTCATATCTTGGTTCTTGTCCTGTGATTTCCAGAGAGTACGATTAGGCAGTCGTCCTAACAACAAGTGTATATATATATATATAACACATGTGATAGCGGAATAACCCTCCACACTACCTATGTATTAACCAAAATATCTAAATACTACATACTACTTATTGGCTGTTCGTCTTTCGTTAATTCTTATACAAGTTATAATCAAGGATTTCTAAAGTCTATCATTAAAGCAATATCAGCTTTACATCTATGCATAAGATCCTTGCATGTTTCCCAAGACAAAATCCACAAACCATGGATTTCTTCTGTCTGCCAAGAGAATGTGGTCATAGATATGAGATTTCTCCTATTTGTTCAAAGTCTCATCAAAAATAAAGGATATCTTCTTTCTATCTACAGAATACAGTCACAAATAAGTTTCCTCCTGTCTGTCTAGAATATAGATAGAAAGTAGTCAATGAATATTTTTCCCCTGCAAAGTCTATAAAGTTGTGTATTTGATAATGAAAGTCTAATTCAATTTTATCAGCGTTCTCATATCTCCCATCTAATCAATTATTGAGTGGTCGTTAAAACACATGGTTAAGTCTGTCTGTCTATCCCTGACACCATCCTTCTTTTTTAACCTCAGTATCTGAGCTCCACATGTTCAGACAAGCACATGTATTAAGCCGTCGAAATTCCCAGCTTATCTCCGGATTACTTAACCTCTCTGGCACTGGGTTCGTCTTCGATGACTGGTCAATGTTAAATGGTCACTAGGCTCGTCTGCTCTTTTGTCCGTTTTCAATAAAGCCCAACAAATATTTGTGTCGTGTATTATGTTGCCTAGTGGTGCCACAGCACAGGGCGTGAAGCCCGATCAATGTGTACCGATCAGCAGCTCCGCTTTACAGCCAGAGTCTGTGTCACGCAATCCCAGAACAGTGGCGTAACATTTACTACAGATTATAACTAGTCCCACCTATACCTAACTATCAGATTATAACTAGTCCCACAAACACCTTACTGTCAGATTATAACTAGTCCCACCTATACCTTACTGTCAGATTATAACTAGTCCCACCTATACCTAACTGTAAGTTTATAACTAGTCCCACAAACACCTAACCACAGATTATAAATAGTCCCACCTATAACTAACTGTCAGATTATAACTAGTAGTCCCACCAACACCTAACCACAGCTAATAACTAGTCCCACCTATACAAAACTGTAAGATTATAACTAGTCCCCCCAACACCTAACTGTAAGATTTTAACAAGGCCCACCAACACCTAACTGTAAGATTTTAACAAGTCCAACCAACACCTAACTGTCAGATTTTAACAAGTCCCACCAACACCTAACGATTATAACTAGTCCCACCGATACCTAACTGTCAGATTATGACTAGTCCCACCAACACCTTGCTGTCTGATTATAACTAGTCCAGATTATAACTAGTCCCACAAACACCTAACTGTAAGATTCTAACAAGTCCCACCAACACCTAACAGTAAGATTATAACTAGTCCCACTTATACCTAACCACAGATTAAAACTAGTCCACCAACCCCTAACCACAGATTATAACTAGCCCCACCTATACCTAACCACAGATTATAAATAGTCCCACCTATAACTAACTGTCAGATTATAACAAGTCCCACCTATACCTAACCACAGATTATACCTAGTCCCACCTATACCTTACTGTCAAATTATAACTAGTCCCACCAAGACCTAACAGTCAGATTATAACTAGCCCCACCTATACCTAACTGTCAGTTTATAACTAGTCCCACAAACACCTAACAGTCAGATTATAGCTAGTCCCACCTATACCTTACTGTCAAATTATAACTAGTCCCACCTACACCTAACTGTAAGATTATACCTAGTCCCACCTATACCTTACTGTCAAATTATAACTAGTCCCACCTACCCCTAACTATAAGATTATAACCAGTCCCACCAACACCTAACTGGCAGGTTATAACTAGTCCCACAAACACCTAACTGTAAGATTTTAACAAGTCCCTCCAACACCTAACCACAGATTATAGCTAGTCCCACCTATACCTTACTGTCAAATTATAACTAGTCCCACCTATACATAACTGTAAGATTATAACTATGCCCAATAAAACCTAAAAACAGATTATAACTAATCCCACCTATCCCTAACTGTCAGACTATAACTAATCCCACCAATACCTAACTGTAAGATTATAAATAGTCCCACCTGTACCTAACTGTAAGATTATAAATAGGCCCAATAAAAACTAACAACAGATTATAACTATTCCCACCTATACCTAACTGTAAGTTTATAACTAGTCCCACAAACACCTAACTGTAAGATTTTAACAAGGCCCACCAACACCTAACTGTCTGCTTATAACTAGTCCCACCTACACCTAACTATTAGATTATAACTAGTCCATAACTTAAGTCCCACCAACACCTAACGGTCAGATTATAACTAGTCCCTCCTATCCCTAACTATAAGATTATAACTAGGCCCACCTATACCTACCTGTCAGATTATAACTAGTCACACCAACACCTAACTGTCTGATTATAACTAGTCCAACCTACACCTAACTCTCAGATTATAACTAGTCCCACTAAAATCTAACTGTCAGGTTATAACTAGTCCCACAAACACCTAACTGTAAGATTTTAACAAGTCCAACC